GTCTCCAAAAAAAAGCATTGCTGATTTCAGTACCATTATACCTCTGCTATGATGATTATAATTTGGGATATGTTTACAGGCTATGATTCCCGGATAGGCAGTGGCAGAAGAGCATTTGGCAGTGGGTATCGCAGGGATGATGACTACAGAGGAGGCGGGGACCGCTATGAAGACCGATACGACAGACGGGATGATCGGTCGTGGAGCTCCAGAGATGATTACTCTCGGGATGATTATAGGCGCGATGACAGAGGTAATAGTTTTCTTTTTACTTACATGGAGCAGAAACTGGGAAAACTACAGAAAATTTGTGATTGTGTTACAAACCACTGAGTTGGGCACAGATATAATTTGCACATTGTACAGGAAGCAGCAAAGCATAGTACAAAGAGCATTGGCTGGCCAGGCACAGTGGCTCACGCCTGTAATCCCAGCAATTTGGGAGGCCGACGCGGGCACATCACGAGGTCAGGAGATAGAGAGCATCCTGGCTAATGGTGAAACCCCGTCTCTACTAAAAATAGAAAAAGTTAGCCAGGCGTGGTGGCAGGCGCTTGTAGTCCCAGCTACTCGGGAGGCTGAGGCAGGAGAATGGCGTGAACCCGGGAGGTGGAGCTTGCAGTGAGCGGAGATCGCGCCACTGCACTCCAGCCTGGATGACAGAGTGAGACTCTGTCTCAAAAAAAAAAAAAAAGCATTGGCTAAGGATGACATCAGTGGAAATACAGCAGTCGAATTCCTTTCATCTCATATGCCTTCACAGATAGATTTTTTTCAGTTAAAATTTATTGAATAAACAGTAGAAATGGAAAAAAAAATTGCCAGATACTGTTATGTTGTGATCTCAGTAAATTACACTTAAAGCAGATGATTTTAGCTACATTTTTCAAGTGAGGGAAATGAAACTCAGATTAAATGTAGTCCTGTAGAGCATCATTGGTACTGTGGGGTTGAAAACTAAGCATTAAGGGTAGGTGCAGTGACTCACACTTGTAATCTCAGCGTTTTGGGAGGCCAAGATGGGCAGATCATTTGAGGTCAAGAGTTCGAGAACAGCCTGGCCAACATGGTGAAACCCCGTTTCTACTAAAAATACAAAAATTAGGTGGCCGGAGCGGCACACACCTATCATCCCACCTACTCGGGAGGCTGAGGCAGGAGAATTGCTTGAGCCCAGAGGCGGAGGTTGCAGTGAGCTGAGATCGCACCACTGCACTCCAGCCTGGGCGACAGAGTGAGACTGTCTCCAAAAAAAAGCATTGCTGATTTCAGTACCATTATACCATAATAATTGATGTTCATTAATTATAAAGGTGAGATTTTGGTACACCTATTCTAAAATCATGCCCTAATACTATAAGATATAAAACGCAAACTGTTACAAATCTAACCTGTTAGAAAATACTAATAAATGGCCACCATTTGTGTTCTAACTTCAGTAATGTCATATAAAAGGTTATGGCATGTGTCCCAGAATTTTTTCTTTTTTTTTTTTTTTTGAGACAGAGTCTCGCTCTGTTTGTTGCCAGGCTGGAGTGCAGTGGCACGATCTCAGCTCACTGCAACCTCTGCCTCCTAGGTTCAACCAATTCTCTTGCCTCAGCCCCCCGAGTAGCTGGGACTACAGGCGCACGGAGTTTCACCGTCACTAGTAGAGATGGGGTTTCACCATGTTGGCCAGGATGGTCTCGATCTCTTGACCTTGTGATCCGCCTGCCTTGGCCTCCCCAAAGTGCTGGGATTACAGGTGTGCGCCACCGCGCCTTGCCAAAAAAACTACATTCTTAAAAGCTATTTCCTCAAGCAAGAAGCCTAAAAATAATAACTAACATTTATTAACTACTCTGTTCCATCTGTGAGCTGAGTGCTTGTACAAGTATTGTTTAATTCTGACTTCTGTGTGGTATAGGTAAAATTACAAGTTAGAAAAGTGGAGGCTCAGATGTGGGCTTCATGTTCTCCTTGACTTCTGACCTTTTCCTGTCTCACACTGTCCCTTACCTCCCCACCAAAAGCTGCATACCTGATTTTTTTTCTTTTTCTCTTCTTGCTCTTACCCCCAATTCCCTCTAAGATCTGCTGTCTTGTCTCTAGTCGCTACTGCTACCTTTGTTGAAGCCTCATTGCTGCACCCACATTACTGGCCATTGCCTCCTAACAGAGTTCCCTTCCTTGCTCCGTTCTTCACATTGGCCCCAGTTGTCAGTTGTCTTTCTGGCATAAGATCTAATTACCCTATTCTCCTCTGTTCAGACCTTTCTAGTTTCCCCAGGACCTGGAAGATAGCCCTTTCTCTATACCTCTGACATACACGGGCCTTCACTGTTTGCCCACCATTTACTTTTTTTTTTTCTTCTTGAGACAGGATCTCATTCTGTTGCCTAGGCTAAAAGTGCAGTGACATAATCATGGCTAACTGTAGCCTCAACCTTCTGAGCTCAAGTGATCCTCCTACCTTATCCTCCCCAGTAACTGGGACTATAGGTGCATGCCATATGCCTGGCTAATTTTGATATTTTTTATAGAGATGGGATTTCTCCATGTTGCCAAGGCTGGTTTTAAACTTCCAAGTTCAAGTGATCCACTTGCCCTCGGTCTCCCAAAGTGCTGGGGTTACAGGCATGAGCCACTGTGCCCGGCTCTATTATTTTATTAATATCTTAAATATCTGAAGTGAGCTACTTTTTCTGAGCCCCCATTTTATCTTATAAAAGTGACAGGGCTATAATACAGATGTAAAATACGTCTAGGAACATATATAAACTGTCGACTTTAAGCCCTCATAGAAAATTTAGATCTTGTTAAACAGTACCCTCTATCTACAGGTACTATGTGCATATGTAGTAAAAGTATAAAGTCAAGTGTGGGCATGATAAAGTCACCATCTAGTGGTTATTTAGAGGACAGAGTGCAGCTGGTCATGTCATCAGGAGGTTTTACCTCTTCGTTAAGGTTACATTACTTAAGTCAGGTGATTGTATAGATAGGCTTTCTTTGTATCTTTGGTATATCCAAAATATTTAGGACAAACAATGATTTTTAGTAATTTAACTTCCTTAAAACACTTAGGTTTCTCTTTAAAGTATTCTGACAACTTGAATCAAGGAAGAAATCAGGCTGCCTTAAGAGTTTATTTGTTCAATGTTACATGCTTTGCCCCATGAACCACCTGCCAAATTTATATTATACACAGAGACAAGGGTATAAGATTTAGAGTCTTCCTGGCTGGGCGTGGTGGCTCACATCTGTAACAGCACTTTGGGAAGCCGAGGCAAGCGGATCACTTGAGGTCAGGAGTTCAAGACCAGCCTGGCCAACTTGGTGAAACCCCATCTCTACTAAACGTACAAAATTTAGCTGGGCATGGTGCCACGTGCCTGTACTCCCAGCTACTCTGGTGGCTGACGCAGGGAAATCAGGGAGGCAGAGGTTGCAGTGAGTTGAGATCACACCCCTGCGCTCCAGCCTGGGTGACAGAGCGAGACTGTCTCAAAAAAAAAATAAAAGAACTAGAGTCTTCCGTATCATATTGTATTAGTTCTTAACACACAGATTTCAGAGCAAGATACTTTCATCCAGTAGTTTAATGATGGTCAAAACTTTTTCCCATATAAAAGAAATCTTAATAGATTATTAATTTATCACTTTTTTTTTTTTTTTTGTCCTTTTTTTTTTTTTTTTTTTTTTGGAGGACGGGATCTCGCTATATTACCCAGGCAGGTCTCGAACTCCTGGCTGAAGCTATCCTCCCCGCCTGCCTCCCTGAGAACGGGATACAGGCGTGAGCCACCGCGCCTGGCTTTCGCTTTGTTTTTTTTTTTTTTTTTGTGTGTGTGGAGAACGGGATCTCACTATATTACCCAGGAAGGGTCTCGAACTCCTGGTCAGCTATCCTCCGTTCTGCCTCCCTGAGAGCTGGGATTACAGGCGTGAGCCACCGCGCCTGGCTTTCGCTTTTTTTTTTTTTTTTTTTAATTTATCACTTTATGTTTACCATTTTTAGTCTTTCCTGTTGGTCTGAACTACATCATGGATGTGGGTACAAGAGAATTGAGTTGATTGGTTTTTTGTTTGTTTGTTTTTTGAGATGAGTTTGGCTTTTGTCGCCATTCTAGAGTGCAGTGGCACCAATCTCGGGCCACTGCAACCTCCGCCTCTGGGTTCAGGCGATTCTCTTGCCTCAGCCTCCCGGAGTAGCTGGGATTACAGGCATGTGCCACCACTCCGGTAATTTTGTATTTTTAGTAGAGACTGGGTTTCTCCATATTGGTCAGGCGGGTTTCGAACTCCCAACCTCAGGTGGTCTGCCCGCCTCGGCTCCCAAAGTGCTTGGGTTTACAGGCGTGAGCCATCACCACCAGCCAGAACTTGGTTTTATGCCACCTTTTTATTTTTATTTATTATTTATTTTAGGCAGAGTTTTGCTTTTTGTGCCAGCCTGGAGGGCTTGGTGCAGGGTGGCGTCTTAGTTTCACCCAAACTCTGCCTCCCAGGTTCAAGTGATTCTCTGTCTCAGCCTTCCTGAGTAGCGGGATTACAGGCACGCGCCACCATGCCAGGCTAATTTTTATTTTTGTAGAGATGGGGTTTCTCCTGTTGGGTCAGGTTGATCTCAAACTCCCGACCTAGTGATCTGTCCGCCTCAGCCTCCAAAGTGTCGGGTACAGGGTGTGAGCCACCACACCCCGCTAAGCTTACTTTTTTTTTTTTTTTTTTTTCCTGAGACAGAGTCTCGCTCTATCGACCAGGCTGGAGTGCAGTGCGCAATCTCGGCTCACGCCAAACTCTGCCTCCTGGGGTTCCACGGCCATTCTCCTGCCTCAGCCTCCCTGAGTAGCTGGGACTACAGGGTGCCGCCACAACGCCAGCTAATTTTTGTATTTTTAGTAGAGACGGGTTATCACTTGTTAGGCCAGGATGGTCTCGATCTCCTGACCTCGTGATCCACTCGCCTCAGCCTCCCAAAGTGCTGGGATTACAGGCGTGAGCCACCGCGCCCGGCCTAAGCTACCTATTGTCTAATGATGTCCTATTTGACTTCTGCGGATTGGTTAGGCCACTAACTTGAATCTCATATAGCATTTCATAGGAGTTATATCTGGGAATCTGGCTTTCAGCCATCAGCTTCTGACAATTTGGAAAACTATTACTTAAAGTTTCATTTAACTTAGGTCCCCCTCAAAGACCCAAACTGAATCTAAAGCCTCGGAGTACTCCTAAGGAAGATGATTCCTCTGCTAGTACCTCCCAGTCCAGTCGAGCTGCTTCTATCTTTGGAGGGGCAAAGCCTGTTGACACAGCTGCTAGAGAAAGAGAAGTAGAAGAACGGCTACAGAAGGAACAAGAGAAGCTGCAGCGTCAGCTGGATGAGCCAAAACTAGAACGACGGCCTCGGGAGAGGTAGGTTGTCTTCTTGATGGATATCCCATTTAGGAATCCAGTGGTTCTTAATGGGGGCATTACATCCCCGGGGGCATTTGGGAAATTTGTGTCATTATCATATCACTGGTTGTCACTGATGAGCATTTAGTGGGCTGTGGCTGGGGGTGTTAGTATGCAGTGTTAGGGACAGTTTTACACAATGAAGAGTTGTTTCCTGTCCATCACAAAAGTTTACTGTTAAAAGCTGGTATTGCATCTAAAAGGCTAGAGACCTCCTATAATAAGTAATTGCCCTGAAAAACTAGGCTTGGTAGTGAGTGGCTTGTAGAACCGTGTTAAAGAAGGGCAGTATTGTAGATTATGTAGGATAGCGTTCTTAACCGTATTAGTTGATTCTTGCTGAAGTAATTAGGGCCAAAGTGTGTCTTAATGTCTGTAGCTTTCAAATAGTTTGAGGGAAAGATAAATTTATATGCACATACACCTATAGATGAAGCAAGTGTGGTAGAATATTAATAAATGATGGTTCTTGAGGGGTCAGCATGGGTCTAAGGTGGCCTTCATTGAGCCAGGCATAATGTGTGTTTTGTGAAATCTCTCGTATAGACACCCAAGCTGGCGAAGTGAAGAAACTCAGGAACGGGAACGGTCGAGGACAGGAAGTGAGTCATCACAGACTGGGACCTCCGCCACATCTGGCAGAAGTAAGTCAGACCAGGGTGGGTATTGTGTTATTGCCGTTTTCCATAAACTATCCATAACCAAATTATGCAGAGACTTTGCAGTATTTAAATTCAGTCATGAACTCTTTATATGAGTTGCATGGGCCGACTGGAGTTTCATGTCTTCTGCATTCAAAGAATTTGAGGAATGGGTACCAGAGTAGAACCCTAGAATGATCTGCTTAATAATCTAACCACTTGAGCGGATACTGACTGTTAGGCTTTGTTCCTCTTCATTTTATGTCCTTTTTTTTTTTTTTTTTTTTTTTGGTTGTAATTTTCATTTTATGTTGTGACATCTTAGAATGTTGTCTATTCAGAACAGTCAAAGGCTTGCAGCTTTCATATGAGCGCTGTCCCAAGACCAAACCTTTTTTTTGCTTTTTTTTTTTTTTGTTTTGAGCACGCGAGTCTCGCTCTAATCGCCAGGCTGGAGTGCAGTGGCCGGATCTCGGCTCACTGCAGCCTCTGCCTCCCGGGTTCCCGCCATTCTCCTGCCTCAGCCTCCCGAGTAGCTGGGACTACAGGCGCCGCCACCCTGCCCGGCTAGTTTTTTGTATTTTTAGTAGAGACGGGGTTTCACCCGTGTTAGCCAGGATGTCTTGATCTCCTGACCTCGTGATCCGCCCGTCTCGGCCTCCCAAAGTGCTGGGATTACAGGCTTGAGCCACCGCGCCCGGCCAAGACCAACCTTTTTTGATGTTATCACCAGAGCAGTGTTCTCAAGCAGTGTTATTACTGGTTGATCAAGCACTTTTAGTGTTTTAGAAACCTCAGTGGTTCAATTATAATACCTCCTTCCCTTACCATGATGTGGTTTTTTTTGTTTTGTTTTGAAATAGGGTCTTACTCTGTCACACAGGCTGGAGTGCAGTGGCATTATGATGGCTCACTGCAGCCTCACCTCCTGGACTCAAGTGATCCTCCCACCTCAGCCTCCCTAGTAGCTGGGACTGTAGGCATGCACCACTACACCGGCTAAATTTTATTTATTTATTTATATATTTATTTTTGAGATGGAATCTTGCTGTGTCTCCCAGGGTGGAGTGCAGTGGCACGATCTCGGCTCACTGCAAGCTCTGCCTCCCGGATTCATGCCATTCTCCTGCCTCAGCCTCCCAAGTAGCTGGAACTACAGGTGCCCGCCACCACGTACAACTAATTTTTTGTGTTTTTAGTAGAGACGGAGTTTCACCGTGTTAGCCAGGATGGTCTCGATCTCCTGACCTCATCATCTGCCCGCGTCGGCCTCCCAAAGTGCTGGGATTACAGGCATGAGTCACCGCGCCCGGCCTATACCCAGTTAAATTTTTATAGAGATGGTTTCCCCATGTTGCCCAGGCTGCTCTCAGCCTCATAAAGTGCCAGCCACTACGATGTTTTTTAAGGTCTTTTCTCCCACCTCTAAATTGATTTGTACTTGCATTTCTTTTATTTATTTATTTGTTTGTTTATTGAGACGGAGTTTTGCTCTGTCACCAGGCTGGAGTGCAGTGGCACAATTTTGGCTCACTGCAACTTCTCACTCCCTGGTCAAGCAGTTCTCCTGTCTCAGCCTCCTGAGTAGCTGGGATTACAGGTGAGCGCCACCATGCTCAGCTAATTTTTTGTATTTTTAGTAAAGATGGGGTTTCGCCATGTTGGCCAGGATTGTCTCCATCTCTTGGCCTCATGCTCTGCCCTCCCTGGCCTCCCAAAGTGCTGGGATTACAGGCATGAGCCACCGCTCCTGGCCTAGTTTTTTATTTTTAAGACAGGGTCTCATTCTCACCCAGGCTGGAGTGCAGTGATGCAATCATAGCTCACTGCAGCCTTCAACTCCTGGCCTCAAGCAATCCTCTTGCCCCAGTATCCCAAGTAGCTGTGAACGATAGGTGCATGCAACCATATCTGGCTAAATTAAAAATTTTTTTTTAGAGATGGGGGTCTCACTACACTCCCCAGGCTGGTCTCAAACTCCTGGCTTCAAGCAGTCCTGCCTCAGCCTCCCAAAGGAGGCTCCTTGTTTTGAGAAGACACGTATTACCTTTTTTAAAAAACACACATATGTAGGTTGTTGTTTTGTTTTTTGAGATGGGGTCTCACTCTCGTCAGCCAGGCTGGAGTGCAGCAATACGATCGCAGCTCACCTCATCATCCCTAGTAGCTGGGACTACAGGCACATGCCACACTCAGCTAATTTTTCTATTTTGTGTAGAGCTGGGGTTTCACCATGTTGTCCAGGCTGGTCTGAAACTCCTAGGCTGAAACGATTCCCCCCACCCCTACAGCCTCCCAGTGTCCTAAGATTACAGGCGTGAGCCACTGCACCCAGCCAGTAGGCTGTTTTTCATAAATGTGATTGCATCATAGTCCATGTGTGTTGAGTTTTAAGTTGAAGTTGAGCAGTGGTTACTACAGTTTGGGATTTCATCATAGGTCCTCTTCACATATGTACATTCTCCAGGTCAAGACACTTTAACATTGAGAATGCAGAAAGGCTGTCAAGGATACTCATTCCTAAAAAGGTCAGATGGCTGGGTGTCCCTTAAGTTGTATACGTGGTCATTATTTTTCCTATTTCTCTGTGCATCAGTAAGACATTGTTCTGGAAATACTTGTAAACCACTGGTTTAGGGATAAATCCATCTTTGGGAGCCAAAACTTGGATGTGGACCATTTTCCACACTATTGAGATCCTGGTAGATGCATGAGCATCTGCAGCCTGATAATTTGATCTTTTCACTCTGGCTTCACAGATGCACGAAGGAGAGAGAGTGAGAAGTCTCTAGAAAATGAAACACTCAATAAGGAGGAAGATTGTCACTCTCCAACTTCTAAACCTCCCAAACCTGATCAGCCCCTAAAGGTAATGCCAGCCCCTCCACCAAAGGAGAATGCTTGGGTGAAGCGAAGTTCTAACCCTCCAGCTCGATCTCAGAGCTCAGACACAGAGCAGCAATCCCCTACAAGGTGAGTCAGCTTGGAAACAGTAGTTGGTTAGCTGTGCAGATTCTAAAATACTGTGATGTAATGACAGAAGATGCCCTACAGGATGCCAGCATTGTATAGCACCTTACAAGTTATGCTGGCTTTAGTCTCTTAGTGTGCTGGAATTGGCTCATAAGACCTAGTTCCATTTTCTGGAGTTTTGATAGCCAGTTGACATCACTTTGGTAGCTTGAAATCAGCTATGATGGGAGTACTAGTGCCACATAAATCTGCAAATATAAGTCAGAGGCTTGAGCCCGGGAGGTGGAGGTTGCAATTACTGCTTTCATTGCTTACTTTCCCATATTTTAATGTTCCATAACATTGAGTATGATTTTGTTTTCTGTAAAGCTTACCTACTGCATTTGGAAGATGATTATAAGTTTCTTGGCTGTTTTCTCTCTGAAACAACTGATGAATGTGATTACCTGTTTTCCTTCTAGTGGTGGGGGAAAAGTAGCTCCAGCTCAACCATCTGAGGAAGGACCAGCAAGGAAAGGTGAGCTCATAGTATGGGAAATAGGTTTTTCACCTAGAAGCCTAAATAAAAAGGCCTCCAAAATGAGATTTTGAAGAGCATGTGTCTTGCACCTGATACTGTGTTAAGAGTTCTTGGGTTGGGCCGGGCGCGGTGGCTCAAGCCTGTAATCCCAGCACTTTGGGAGGCCGAGACGGGCAGATCACGAGGTCAGGAGATCGAGACCATCCTGGCTAACACGGTGAAACCCCGTCTCTACTAAAAATACAAGAAAATTAGCCGGGCGAGGTGGCGGGCGCCTGTAGTCCCAGCTACTCGGGAGGCTGAGGCAGGAGAATGGCGTGAACCCAGGGGGGCGGAGCTTGCAGTGAGCCGAGATCGCGCCACTGCACTCCAGCCTGGGGCACAGAGCAAGACTCCGTCTCAAAAAAAAAAAGAGTTCTTGGGTTGGCCGGGCGTGGTGGCTCACACCTGTAATCGCAGCACTTTGGGAGGCCGAGGCGGGCAGATCACAGGTCAGGAGTTCGAGACCAGCCTGGCCAACGTGGCGAAACCCCGTCTCTACTTAAAATACAAAAAAAGTAGCCGGGTGTGGTGGCACATGCCTGTAATCCCAGCTACTGGGGAGAGGCTGAGGCAGGAGAATTGCTTGAACCCGGGAGACGGAGGTTGCAGTGAGCTGAGATGGCCCCACTGCACTCCAGCCTGGGCGACAGAGCAAGACTCCATCTCAAAAAATAAAAAATAAAAATAAAAGAATTATTGGGTTATCTACCTTTTCTTGCCAGTAGAGGGAGGAATGGCCTCTTTGGAGAAAGTATGAAACCCTGCCCTTTCCTGGTAGAACATTTCTTTGACAGGAGGAGAAAAAAATCGGAAGGAAATTAACACTTTCAGTCCAGATTAGAAATGTTACCATCAGCAAGGCCAAGGTCACTACAGAGCGTCATAGTCTTTATTTCCAGCTTGCTTTTCATGATGGCACATCCCTACATGGAACTTTTTAGTGGATTTTGTTTGGTTTTTGTATTTTTGTGTGCTATAGAGGATGTGGAAAGAAGGCTTCAGGAAGGAAGTCTGGGTTGGCATGAGGTTAGTTTCCCTCAGTACATGTGGGCACAGTTTTCTTCAGCTTAAGGGAAATCTTAGGAGAAGGACATTGATAATTTTACTTGCCTTTAATTTGTTTACATGACTGCTCAAACAGATGAAAATAAAGTAGATGGGATGAATGTCCCAAAAGGCCAAACTGGGACCTCTAGCCGTGGACCAGGAGACGGAGGGAACAAAGACCACTGGAAGGAGTCAGATAGGTATGCTTGTTCTCTTTCTCATTATCATCTTTGCTCTGATCCACATGTTTGTGTAATTAAGAAATTAAGTTCTTGGTTCTCAAAGCACTGTCAGATCTCTCATTGTGAGCAAACTAAAGTCAGCCAACATGAGACAGTTAAGATTCTGAAAATCTAGAAGTAATACATCATCCAGACAACAAGGACTGTTGGCTAGAGGTGCCTGTTCAGTGCCTTGAAACTGCATGCATGCACATATTTGTATTAGGCAAGTCCTTTCCTAAAGATGTGGTTTTATGCTTACGTCTCTGCAGGAAAGATGGCAAAAAGGATCAAGACTCCAGATCTGCACCTGAGCCAAAGAAACCTGAGGAAAATCCAGCTTCGGTAAGTGTTGAAGGCTGCTCCCAATTTTTCGTAGAATACTTTTTGCTGTTGGACTTCTTTCCATTTGGAATACAAAGTGTTTGGAAATAAGACATTGGTCTTTATCTGAAATAGCACAAGAAGTTTAGCTTTTTCCTGGTTTCTGCCTTCCTTTGTTCTCATCCCTTCTGCAAGGTGTAGAGGTGGTATGGGACTACTGTAAGATCACATGTGCCTCTGACCCTCTTCCCTAGCTCCTCTCCAGTGGACAATGCTCATGACTAAGCAAGTGGGTGTCATCTGACTGTCATCCCCCATTGCCAAAGGATCAGTATTCTGTGTCTTGGGTTTTGATGTGATAATTCAAGGCCTTCATTATCCTGTCACTCTCGTTGTGTTACAGAAGTTCAGTTCTGCAAGCAAGTATGCTGCTCTCTCTGTTGATGGTGAAGATGAAAACGAGGGAGAAGATTATGCCGAATAGACCTCTACATCCTGTGCTTTCTCCTAGTTTCTCTCCGCCCTGGAACATTCGAGAGCAAATCAAAACCTCTATCCAGACAAGACAAAATAAAACTCACCATCTCCTGAAGACCTTTCTTACCTTTTTTTAAAAACAAAAAATGAAATTATTTTGCATGCTGCTGCAGCCTTTAAAGTATTGAAGTAACTGGAGAATCGCCAATATAGCCAGAGAGAAAGGGACTACAGCTTTTTAGAGGAAGAGTTGTGGTGTGTTATGTCACCACACAGTTGCCAGTGTGATTAGTGCCTAGGGGCCTCCATTTAGCAGAAATGGTAATGACAGTGATATAATGTCTGGAACCTGGTTGGGCAGTAGGGGAGGGAGGTAGAAGGAAAATTGTGAGATTTCTGCCTTTTAGTTTTTATCCTATTGTGGCATATATGAATTCTCAAAACATTATCTGAATAAATTTTCCACTCTTGGAAAGGTAGATTTAGCCTCAAGTTGTTTTAGTCTCCAGGAGGCTGCCAGCCCCTCCTCTTATTTAATTCTGAGTTTTGGGGGCCAGCCTAGGGGGAATTTTTTTTTTTAACCCCCCAGGGGGGTAGTTGGGAGTGAGACTATAGGCCATAAAGAATAGGACTGCATTGGACCAAAATAAATGGGAAAATCGTGGTTTGAAAAGAAACTTTTGGGAAGTGATGAGTCATTTTGTACCAGGTAATGGGGAAAATTGTGTGACCTCCAGCAAACACATGAATGGTTATTTCCTGGAGCCGGAAGCACTTGGGGGTCGTGGTAATTCCCAGTGTTTTCTGTGTCCTAGTTTTACCCTTTCTAAACACTGTCCTTTTTGAAAGTTTGAATATATCCACATTCTGTTGAAACTTTGAAACTAAAAACTTAGACTCTTGTCGTCATCTTAAGTTCTTCGTGCTACTCTTAACCTCCCAAAAAGCAGTCTCTTAAGTCACATAGATGATGTCTTGGGCATTTTCTCTCTCAGCCATGGAGAGCTGTGAAAGGAAGAATCGCTGCTTTTCTCAAGCAAATCGGTTTCTTGATGTCTTTTGGTTCTCACTCCTTGCCTGCTCCTGATGCTTTGACCCCTTTTATAGATCAGAGTGCTCTAGAATAATGGATGGTCTTGGATGGTGGATAAATAGGGACAGGGACAGTTAAATTGGGAGCCTTTTTTACAACCTTGAGTTTTTTCCCCCGTTTCCTTCTCCACTGAAATGCTACACCAATGCTTGTTGGATTCATGAGGTAGCCAGACCAATGTGTTGTTTTTCTTTATTATTTTTTTTTTAAAGCTTCCCTTGAGAGAATAAATGGTAATGGAGAGAACTATTTAACAAGGTCCTGGTTTCTCTTGCAACACAGTAGCTAAACTTGCCTGCTTGTATGTGCATTTTTGTAGGGATCAGCTTGGTAGACAGTATTAGCAGAGAAACGACACCTTGATCTTGGTTTGCAAGCCCGTCTCCCATCAGTCCTAGATTAGGCCCTGTTCAGCCATGCAGGGGTGTTGGTTTATGCGTGCTGCAGCAGTGGGCATAATATAATTTACCCAGTTGACAAAGGTGTGTACCAAGTGAATTTAAATAATTGGTGTGGATTGGCCAGTAGCTAAGAAGTGGGCTTTTAAAGAGTGTTGAAGATTGAAAGGTTTTTTTTTTTTAAAAAAAAAAAAAGGAAAAACCATTGATTGTAGATAATGAAAAGCTAGGGTTTGCCCTCTTCATGTCTACTCTCCTTCCAAATAGTTATATCCAAAACTGTTTTTCCCTCTCCCCTGCCTTGTCCCCCCTATTAAAATAGAAATGGGGATTAATGTCCCACTCCTGAATACATGTAAAATTTGTACAAAAATATCTTCTATGAAAATGATTTGTAATCTGTAGACTTATTACCTGGGAGATGTCTTGATGTAAAATCCCATCCTTTGGGTTGTGGGTTTTTTGTTTTCTCCAAATAAATCTGATCTTTAAAGTTCATTGTAATGCTGAAATTCTTTGACATATACTCTTCACTCCCAGTGGTTTCTTTTTTGTTGTTTTTTTTTTTGTTTTTTGTTTTTTTGAGATGGAGTCTCGCTCTGTCGCCAGGCTGGAGTGCAGTGGCGCGATCTCGGCTCACGGCAAGCTCCGCCTCCCGGGTTCAAGCCATTCTCCTGCCTCAGCCTCCTGAGTAGCTGGGACTACAGGCGCCCGCCACCACGCCCGGCTAATTTTTTGTATTTTTTAATACAGACGGGGTTTCACCGTGGTCTCGATCTCCTGACCTTGTGATCCACCCGCCTCGGCCTCCCAAAGTGCTGGGATTACAGGCGTGAGCCACTGCGCCCGGCACTCCCAGTGGTTTCTACTGGAGTCGTTGACTGCCTGTTCCTCCTTCCCCCACCGTCTCTGAAATTTTCATTTAGCATTAGATACCATATTGTCCAAGGTCAGAGGGTGGGGTTACAAGGTAATCCATTACAATGTTTATTGAGGCCCAGTAATACAGTTTGCATCCCAGCTCCCCTCTTGCTTGTTTTTTGGCCTGGTGTTAATTATTTAATCACCTGGATGTGCTTGCAGTCTATTTCCTGTACTGTTTATTTTAATCAAGATGTGGGAACTCTAAGAATGAATCCTTGCGTCCTTGGGGCAGTTCCCTCATAATCTCCCTCCCTTACTTCAGCAATCTGGAGAGGTGCTGCTCCCTTGAGTCAGCACTGCACTGGTGGACCAGAGATACTGGTGACAACCTGGTCAAGGTTACCAGAACAGAAGCTTACAGACTCAGTGGGAATTTTCCAAACAGCTAGGGACAGACTGGTCATTGTTGCAAGGCAGGAAAGGGGTTAGGACAGTGGCAGAGAATCCCTAAGGTCACAAGGAGGTGGAGCATACAAAGGAGCCCGGGAAAACCTCAGTCAACAATTTTGGGGATTTAAGAGCCAAGAGGAGGAGCCAGTTAACACAAATGGCATTTCCCAGCCAATTGGAACAGCTGCTCTTCTAGTTTCTGGCCAGTGCATTTTTCTGTTCTCCAAAATTGGCAAAGTTGAGGGATATGAGACTCAGCTGTGATGATGTGAAGGCTTTTCAATGTGGCTTTAGGTGCCCCTATCGTCCAGGCTGCCTGGGGAACCTACAAGATAATGCTTGTTCACTGCCTCTCTACCACTGGAATCAGTTTCAGTCATATTCTCCAAGCTTTTGTTTCAAGCCACTCTCTTAGCTGTGCAATACTGAGGTTTAGGTAAATGATGGAAAGAAGGAACAAAAATAGGAAAGGCTCGTTGAAAGAGGTTTATGATGGCTGTGTACAGAAAGCGTATAGAGGAAGGCCCTGTGTATGGCCACATCCTCATAAAGTGTGTGGCCAGGTGCGGTGACTCACGGCTGTAATCCCAGCACTCTGGGAGGCCAAGGAGGGCAGATCACATGGTCAGTTCTAGACCAGCCTGGCCAGTATGGTGAAACCCTGTCTCTACTAAAAATATGAAAATTAGCCAGGCGTAGTGGCACACACCTGTAGTCCCAGCTACTCAGGAGGCTGAGGCAGAAGAATCACTTGAACTCAGGAAGTAGAGGCTGCAGTGGACCGGGATCGTACCACTGCACTCCAGCCTGGGTGACAGAGCAAGACTGTCTCAAAAAAAAAAGATGTGTGTTAGCCGTGCATGGTTGCTCACACCTGTAATCCCAGCACTTTGGGAGGATGAGGCAGGAGGATCGCTTGAGCCTAGGAGTTTGAGACCAGTCAGGGCGACATGGCAAGACCCTTCTCTACAAAAAATAGAAAAATTATCCAGGTATGGTGGTGTATGCCCATAGTCGCAGCTACTCGGGAGGAAGGATCACTTGAACCCAGGAGGTCAAGGCTGCAGTGAGCTGTGATCACACCACTACACTCCAGCCTGGGCAACAGAGCAAGACCCTGTCTCAAAAAAAAAAAAAAAAAAAAAGTGTGGGTCCACCCAGAAGCCTCCCAGCTGCAGAAGTGGACCCAGGAGTGGTCAGCCCTCATTGCCAACCTCTTGTAAATCTTGAACTACTGGACAAGTAGGGGGGAAGTGCAGGTGCAGCATCCTACTTCACAAGGGCTAACTTGAGGCTGGTTAGGTCCCACGTGTATCCCAGTCCACATTAGCCTAGTTTCTTCTCAGTAGAATCAAACACTATACTCTGGATCCCAAGGCACTAGGGTCCCAGTTCGTGCTGAGGGCATCGCCTCAAGTGCTAAGCGAGCTCACAGCATCTGGTTTCTCTGGAAGTGAGAGAGCTACACATCTGCTCCTGGGAAGCATTATTTGTCAAATAAGCCTTGTTTCTCCGCAACCATTGTAGCCCCCAGGGCCACAAGTAAAGAGGGACTTGCCTTCCCTTACCCTCCCCCAAAAGAAATTTGGAAGAGATGAGCTGAGCTGCTCCCCGCCCAGCTGCAGCAACCTCCTGCTTGGACAATACACCCTCTGTCCTCAGCCAGGAGATCCGCCTCTGGAGTTGGCTCTGCCCCTTCCCCCACTCTTCCTGGTTCCCAGCACCCAAACCCTCTACTGGAGTTCTCCTGACCCAGTGGTCTTCAGCCAGGACAATCCCACACCTTCAAATCCTCCCCCTACAGTCCCTGCACCCCAAGGATCTGAGCACATTCAGTAACAGGCACGGGGTCACCCCAGACCATGGAAGAGGGGGTTCCACCTTCAGTGCCAAGATGGACCACCCTCTGCATAGTCAAGGTAAGAAAACCTGTGTGGAGGGAGGCCAGAGGTGTTCCTGAAATTATTTGGCCTTTATTAATATCAACCTGGCTTTCTCCTCCTCCCCTTCTCCCTCCTCTCTGAAGCTCCTGCTGCTGTGAGCTGGAAATCAGGATGCCTGGCTGGCCCATGAACCTTTCATTTTTGTTTCACTCCCACCAAGCTACCTCCTGCATAACTTCTTATTCTCAGCCTTTCTCATCAGCTTCCTTCCTGCAGCTCCCTTCCCCACTATCCCCAGTTTGAGAGTAGAAATCAAGCCAGAGCTGGGAGTTGGACCACCCATCTTGTGACCCTTTTCCAATTCCTTGGAACCTTAAAGTTCCTCTCATGGGCCTGCCAGGCAGCAGCAAAACCAGCATGTGTGAGGTTCTAGCCCTTACCCTTCACCTCTCTGGGGTCCAATCAAGTTCCTCTTTGAGTCCCAGTCTCTCCATTGGTAACTTTACAGCTGAGGTAAAGGTACTGCCACAGCATCCATCCCAAGGCCCAGCCAAAGACCCTAAGGAATGCTGGGAAGAGCAAGATGTTAAAAGAGCTGGTTGAAGGCTCCAAAGACATGAACACATTTAATTATCTCGTGTATCTCGATTACGTAATCAAATCTGGCCAAAATACATGGGACAACCTTCAGCTCTGCCCTTTCTCCAGAAGCCTCCAATCCCTGCCACTCTCCTCGGTATTCCCCTAACTCTTGCCTCTCCCCTCTTCCCAGTGCCTCCCTACTCGTTCCTGCCTGGCTCCCCCTACCCCCTCCTCTCCTGTCCCCAGTGCCCAGTGACTCCCACTGCTCTAACCTCTGAAACTGTCTACTGAACACCAACTCAACCAAGAGCAGTAAGATCAAGGCTTCCCAGTCCCAACCATATCCACCCCTCCCAAATGCCAATTTCTGGGTGGGGGGGACACACCGTCATCACGCACTTCTTCACAGACTCTTCTTCCCTGCTGCAAGATTGGAATCAGGTGCTCCACCCCCTGGAAGTGAGAACCAGTCTTCTCAGCCTTTGCCAAAGACAAGATGAGCACAGAAGGGACCCAGCTGAGATGAGACAGGGAGGGAAAGAAGGCCTTAGAGCCAGTAGTACTGGCTGCTTTGGGCAGGCACTGGACATTGAGCCCTGGGCACTGGGTTCTCAGAATCCCAACCTCCCTTACCCCGCCCCTTTTCATCATGGAAAATCCAGCAGGGGGGGTGGAGGGAGAAAGTTTCAGGAAGTGCTCACTGCTAAAGGACGCTGGGGAATGTAGGAATGGCAGTAAGTTCAGAACTTCTAGGAAGATATCCCCTACCTTATCCCTACCCTCCACCTTCCCCTCCAGGGTAGCACAACTGGAACCTGCCCTAGGGCCCATTAGCTCCATTCCATAAAGTTCCTATCCAATACCAGGCACTGCAAAAGAAGAGAATGAAGTCAGACCATAGAAAGAACTTCCATCTCCATTTGGAAAGCCTGGACTCAAGTTAAATGTAAGGAAGACCTTCTCAGAGGTCTCCTGCAGAGTGGGAATGACGGTCCAGCTCTTTCAAAACAGGGCAATGGGCCAGGCATGGTGGCTCACGTCTGTAATCCCAGCACTTTGGGAGGCCGAGGAGGGGGAATCGCTTGAGCTCAAGAATTGGAGACCAACCTGGGCAACAAAGCGAAACCCCATCTCCACAAAAAATTAGCTGGGCGTGGTGACGCCCGTCTGTAGTCCGAGCTACTAGGGAGGCTGAGGTGGGAGGATCGCTTGAGCCTGGGAGGCAGAGGTTGCAGTGAGCCGAGATCGCGCCACTGCACTCCAGCCTGGGCGACAGAGACTCCGTCTCAATGAATAAACGAAGCAGGGCACTGGATGGGATGGCTGGAGCTGCTTGCGGGTGGAGATGGGGGCTTGAGCCTGATGGAGAGGTCCTCAGCTGTGAATCCTTTCAGAATACTAGCCCAGGAGGTCTCCTGTGAGGCAGAGGACCAGGGAAGGGTGTCCGGCGACTTGGGCCAAAAGTAACACCAGGTGTCTTCACCTGATTCAGGCGCCCGCCTGGGGTAGGGGACGCTAGCACCACCAGGGTAGGCCACGGGTGGTACTCTCAGGTCAGACCCAACCAGGCACACTCCTGTCGGGAGGGTGAGAGGCTGAGGCTGCGCGGCAGTTCCCTGTCTCCTTGTTCCTAGTTTCTTCTGGACCTACGCCCACCGTTTCTTCTGCGTCTGTCTGGCTCGCGTGTTTCTTTTTGCCTGTGTCCCGCCGGGTCAGGCTCTCCCCGTCTCTGAGACTTTCCCGTCCCCGTGTCCTCCGCGGCCGTCTCTCTCCAACTCTCTCTCCCCCTCTCAGCCACTTCCTGTCTCCAGTATGTGCCTGGCTCGGCCCCGCTGGCCGTCTGCGCACCCTCTTTCCCCTCGCCTCTTTGTGAGTGTGGGTTCGCGGGAGAAGGTGGGGAGGAGAGGAGGCCGAGGGGCGGGGAGCGGGCGGAACGTGGGGATTGGAGCCGGGAGGGAGGAGGAGGAGGAGCGGGCGGCCACGGGCGCGGGCGCGGGGCGCGGGGCGCGGCGGGGGCGGGAGGGAGCCCAGCCGAGCGCGGCCGCCCGCTCCCGCCGCCGCCGCCGCCGCCTCCGCGTCCGCGTCCGCTCCGCTCCGCGCGGGCACGGGCGGGATGGGCTGGCCCAGGGGCTCCCCCTGCTGCTGCCCCGCCCCACCGCGCCCCCGCCCCGCCGGGCGCCCCCCGCAGGTGAGTGGCCGCGCCGCGCTGCGCGGGTGGCGGCCTCTGCGTCACGGCCGCGCGGGCAGTGCCAGGGGCGGGCGCCAGGGGGCGCGGGGCCGCCGGAGGTCGAGGGGGCGCGGGGCCGCCGGAGGTCTAGAGGGCGCGGGGCGCGGCCCGGGACTGGGGCTGGGGACTCTGGCTGGCCGCATGGAGCTGGGAGCAGCTGGAGGCCAGGACAGTGACTAGGGGGCGGGGCGCGGCCGCGGTCCTACTCGATCAGGCCGCCACGCCTTCCAGCACCTGGGGCGCACGGGGCCGCGCGCCGTGCCACACACGCAGGCCCGGGACCCGGCAGCAGCGGGGAGCGGCGCCCGGGACCCGGCCTGGCAGGGTGCGGGCGAACGTTTTCCTTTCCTGCTTCACATGTGGGACACTGAGGCCCTAAGCGGGCACAGACGAGGCTACTTCAACTCGCCAGCCCCGCTCTGCGACCCCCTTCCTTCTCTGCCTCCACCATTCAGACTCTTCTGGGCACACCCCCAGAGCCGCCGCCCTCCCTCGCTCCTTCCCTGGGCCTTACCCCTCCTCCGCGGCGGCCGGGCTCCCAGCCTCCCTTCCAACCACAGCTATTTCCAGGAAGGGGGTGTGGGTGGAGGGGGTTCTCCAAACAAACCCAAGACTTCGGAGAAAGAGGGGGCCCGGCTGGGGGAGAGGTTGACAGGCTCTGGAATGTTACAGGCGGGAGGAGGGTGAGGGTCCAAGTGGGTCTAGTGATGCCTTCCCAGCCCTCCTCAAGTGAGCTACTTTTCCCCTCGGGACTGGCTCATAGGGATTCCATCCCTGCCTCCCTTCCGAGGTGTGAGTGCCACAGGATGGGAGGGACTCACAGCCACAGTGGATCGTGACCACCCCACCCCTCACCGGACTCACTGCTTGGGCATCTCCTTGCTGGGTCTGGGTGGGGAGTGTGAGACCAGTGAAGGTGAGAGGATGTCTGGGGACCTGTTCCAGGTGAGGGGACTTTCAGCCCCTATGGAGGCAGCAGGAGATCGAATCCTGTAAAGTCCTGGTCAGGGCCATGTGCCATAGAAGGTGGGACTGGACAGAAAAAAGCCACCCCCACTGCCCACCTTCTCACACTGCCTCATCTCCCCCAAGCAGGGCTGGGGGCTGGACAAGGCCAGGCCCGGTTGCCCACACTGGCCAGGGGCCTGGAATGTGCTGGGACACAGCCAGCCTGGCAGGATGGGGGTGGGTCGCAGAGCCCATGCTCCTCTCCAGTTACAGGCTGGGGGCCCAGGCCTGCCACACAGATGCCACCTTCTGGCCAGGATATCCTGGGGACACACTTCTTGGCCTGGAAAATTGGAGCTTCAAGGGAGAGGTCTCAGGCTAGGCCCAGCCCAGTCAGGTTCTCACAAGGGTCTCAAGTGGGCACCCACAGCAGGCCTCACCCCAGAGAATGCAGGATTCTCCATCCCAGAGAACCCTTCCTGACGGGTATGAAGGAGCAGGAGGCAAATAGAAGGGATCCCGTGGGAGAAGCCAGGGCTGTGGGAGTTGCCTGAGTACTGGGACATTCAATAAATACCATGCAAATGAGAGGGGCACATTTGCACATTCTTTCAAGTGACAGCTACAGCCGGTCCCAGGGGCTGCTGTCCACAGCTTGGGGCTGAAGACTCCCAGGCCATTAACCCCTTAGCTTTTAGGGAGATTACTCCCCCTTTTCCAAGGCCCCATCCACCTCCCTCCCTTGACTCCCAGGACGGGAAGTTGGCCATGTTCCCAGGAGGGAGGCGGGAGGCCCATGGATGGGGGTGGAGTATGTGTTGGGAGGGGGGACCTCCTGTCCAGTCCTCAGGCCCTGGGACAGCTGCTGAGGAAGGAGAGCAGACCCAGGAGAGCCATGAAGGTAGTACTCAGGCTTCGGGGTTGCAGCAGGGGGAGGGTGCAGCCCTTGGGTGGAGAGACCAAGTTGCAGGGCTGGAAAGAGGGCTAGGGATCTGTGAGATCATGTCTGAAACAAAGCCAGGGAATGGGTGAGTGGGGGGCACTGTGTCAGGAGCAGAAACCTGGGGGCTTTCAGGAGAAGGGCCTCATATGCCTTAGGCTGTGGCAGGAAAATGGATTACTCCCCAAACCTGAGCAAAGCAGTCTTGTGGCTGGAACTTGGCCTTGCAAGGTGTATTGAGGGTAAAGGTGGGCGGTGCATGCTTTCCTTTTCCTACTTCATACAGAGTGAAACTGAGACAGGAAGGGGGCCCCCAGTCCCATTTTTACCTGACTCTCAGGACACACTCGGGATCCTGGGCCTGCCTGCTGGTAGTAGTTCCCAGCTCCACTCCCTCCCCAGCGGAAGTCCCTCGAGGGCTTGAGAGTTCTGGCTGGAGCCTGGCTGGGACACACTGTTCCCCACTTGCCCTTTAGCCCTGCCCTGAGACCAGAATTCTCACCCGGCCCCACTGGGGGCAGGATCTCAAGACCATGGATCCCTGCAGATCCCTGGAGAGTGTGGTGTCCCAGGTGTGGGACAACTCCAGAGTTGGGGAATGGGGGGAGCAAAAGATCACAGGCTGACACTCCCAGCAGGGTAGATCCTGGGAATCTGATCTCCTGGCCTCCCCCACATCCTCCCCCCTCCACTTCCTGGAGTGGCGACCTGCCCCCTTCCCGCCTGCACTTCCCTCCACTTCCAGGGCCGGGCTTCTCCTCACACCAGCCAGACAGCCTACCCTCCGCCCAGGGGAAGCGGCTGCCTCCGCCAGGCCGCTTCCAGGAAGCCCCGGGCCAGGCCCCAGCATTGTTCAGGCCCTGGGGCCAGCACCCCAGCCAGCAGAACACCATGAAGTCCAGCGGCCCTGTGGAGAGGCTGCTCAGAGCCCTGGGGAGGAGGGACAGCAGCCGGGCCACAAGCAGGGTAGGAGTGCCCACCAGCTGGGCAAAAGAGGGGCAGGGGTGGAGGTGTGGGCAGTGGGGGAGGGGACCTGGAATCAGGCCAGGCCCTCTTCCCAATTTCAGCTTTCTCAGCCTTCTCTCCTGGCCCAGCATCCCCTCCGGAGTGGCCAAGGCTGTAGTGTGAGGGGATGTTTGGGTTAGAGTGGGTACCGCTGTCTGTTTTGGCTCCTCTCACCTTCCCTGCTCTAGCCTGGGTCAACCCTGGGGGTCCTGGCCCCCCAAACCTAAGCCCCAGGTACCTCACTGTAGGACTTTGCCACGCACTATCCAGGTATCCTAGAGCAGACTCAGAGATCATCAGGCCCCTTCCCTGGCCCGGGGAAGTTTGAGGAAAAGGGGGTGGCAGGGCAGAAAAGGAGAGAGGAGAGGGAGTCAGGAGTGCTTTCGAACTGGAGGTTTGCTTTCCACTGACAGCATCCATATCTGCTGCTAATGCCTGCATGCTCCCAAGTGTCCTAGTGGGTCCCACAAAGTTGGTCCAGCCCAGAAGTGTTGCAGGGACAGTCAAAAAACCAGAGATGCTGCCCACATCCCCATCACTCCCTTTCCCAACTTCCCAGCCTTGCCCCAAAAGCAGCAGCTCAGGACAACCTGAGAGACTACTGTGATGGGTCCCCAGGAGGAGGACAGCAGGAGTCTGAACTCCAGAGGAGGGGGAATATGGGTAAAACAGAGAGGTGGCAAGGAGACAAGCTGTCCCCAGACAGAGGATAGGAGGAGTGAACCCACAGTGGGAGGGGAAGGGACTGAGATAGGCCTGGGCCATAAGGGGGCATCCCAGGCTCCTGCTTCACTGCACCTCTGGATCAGGAGGGGCTGAACAGGGAATCTGGTCCACTCCTTCCTCATTCAGTGTGTGAATGAATCCCAAGTGCCAGGGGGCAGGGGGTCGGGGGAGAGCTCACAGCATCCAAAACCAGCTAAACATCTCTCCCCAGTGACAGGCCTCTGTTTCCCTCCAGCATGA